TTTTTGCATCTGTGTGGGTTGGAGGCTTGACCTCTGTGTTGGAGCCAATGAATCTTTATTTAGGAGTCAAGGTTTTATGCAGACCACCTTGATGAATGTCTGCAAATGTGGTGTAGATGTGTTGGTCTGAACACGAGCTTCTTGTCATCATGCAGTTTGGCCGTAGCGTTACATCGATCGCAGTCTGGAACCTCTCTTCCTTTTTGTGGCGCATCATGACATGCTGTTCCAATAGGACAGCGAACGTCCTCATGCTGCTTGCGTAAAAGTGCCTTTCTTGCCAGCAGAAGTTGTGAATGATGTGTTGTAGATGCCCTACATGCCACATTTGATACCCTATGAGCATTTGTGGGATGAAGGAGTTGAAGGGGTCTAGCATGCAGCATCTAGGACTACAGCTCGGATCAATGACAGGCGCATGGTTCTCAAGCTCTATGAGCCTTCATGTGCAATGTGGCGCGTTGCATCCATAGCAGATGTGAAGCTCGTATTGCTTCCGATGGTGGCCACATACAGGTCTACACACCTTTTCCAAAGTAACACGTTTTGTGGCCTAACAGCCTGAAATCAAGACGCATTAAATCAGAATGTATTTTACCTTTATGTATGCACTGTAACACAATCCCCAAGTGAAACAAAAAGGCTAAAACACACATACATTACATATCCCATTTGAATCGAAGAGCTGAGAGCAGATTTGAAAGTTTGCCTAAATCGAAAACTAAAATCAATTCTGGATCAAAAGTTAGAAGAGACGGGGGTCCTGTACAACCTTTTGTTAACCGTCAGGTTTACGTGAGATTTTGAAAGAAATCCCTGAAAGTTCTTGGAACTAATAGATGGAGTGTCAAGCTTAAGGTGTATCGACGCAAGGAAGAAAGATAATACATTTTACAGGTGATGATGCGACACATTAATCAAAGAAGAGACAGAAAAGCCTTCAAGCCTTGCTGGAGTCTAGATCACACTCTCCTTTTCTCCCTAAAATGCAGTTTTCTCTTGGTACCAGCAGGTGTCACTCTACACCTTTTGGTCTGTGAAGCTGATGATCAGGCAAGGTTAAAAACTGTACATCTGCTCCCTTGTAGATTCATCTAATCTGTTCACCAGAACCTCTCAGGTTAAAAACCTATTTTTATTCTATTTTTAATCATCACAATTCAAGAGTAAACCAGATAAAAGTATGTTCAAAAAATAAATTTAAGTTCTGTAAAAAACATTATCCAGAAAACATGTCTTTATATAAATGAACTGTGTCATTTAAAGAATATAACTTGGCTCCACACAGAGGGGTAGCTGCAGGAGCCTACAAAAATATAACTGATGTAAATAGGTATAGTACTAGAAGAGAACAGACCAGTAAAACAGTGTTGTGAAATGACAAGACACTTACAAATAAAGGACTGACAAACCTGCATTAATAATAATAATAATAATTCACTTTTTTTTTTCAGAATGGCTAAGAAGTACAACATGCGCCTGGTGTTCAAGAAGACGTTCTGTGAGTTTTTTGCAGAGAAGATTCAGAATGAGGAGCACAGACTCTTAATGAAAAGGATGCAGGCACTGGAAGTAAGCTTGTGTACTCTTTTTTTTTTTTTGTTCGCTCTTAGGTACTGGTGATTTAGAATAATATTTTTCTGTGTGATCTTATGGTTAGTAGCAATCTTGCATCCAGAGTCACCCTCTTCTGCAAACCCAATGTCAGCCGTTTTTCTCTTGTACAGCTTTTCTTTGTAGTCTTATCTGTTAATGTATTTTTTTTACTTTTTGTGCCGATGACATCTATGCTACTTAGATATGCAAGACCTAATTGAGTATTCTGATTTGGGTTTTGCTTTGATGTAGGTGTAGATACATTGAATCATGCGCAAGGTGTTCCAATGTTAATGAAGAGAGAAGCCAAAGACTGAGTAGGAACTCTGTAAAGCTTCAGAAAAAAATTTCTACACTTAGTTGTAACAGAAAAAAATATGGAAATTTCTAGTCTTTTAATATGTAAAACATTGACATAAGAGATATAGTTTTCAGATTGCATTTCAGCATCATTCACACATTGCTATAAGTGAGCAACTGCAAGGGTTTCTCTACTGTTATGCATGTTGAATAGTTTATTGCCTCAAGAAAAGAGAAATAAGTATATATTGTTATTGCAATGTCTTTAACTATTTTGTGAAATATCTGTGTTTAACAGTTTGTGATTCAATTCTGATTTCTAATAAATATACAGGTCAAAATCACCTTTTTTACAGGGTTCTTTTATATTTTCTATATATCGGCAAACAGCATGCATTCTTTTTCTGTGCCTTTGACATCAACAGGCATAAGTCAAATGGTTCATCTGAATTTTTAACCAAGAGAGATATATTTTCTATAACAGATGTAGTATCAGGACACTTGGAAATTATTAGAAGACTGAATAATGCTGACTAGAATGCTTTGTTTGCACTAGAATTCAGTTTTCTTCTGTCCATTCATCCATTTCCTAACTGCTATATATAGTACAGGGTTGCTGGGGAGCCAAAGCCTGTTTTAACAAGCAACTAGCGGAAGGCATGATACACCCAGGACTGGACGCCAGTCCGTAATAGAGCACACACAAACTCACATGCCAGTTTACCTGCCAGTATGTCTTCAGACTTGGAGGGGGGGGGGATTCGGAGCACTTGGAAGAAAATCACATGGACATAGGGAGAACGTACAGACTCCGTGTCGATTGCATCCTAGGAGTTGAATCCAGGGTCCCAGCACTGTGAGGCAACAGCACTAGCCACTTTGACATGCTGTTCAGGAGGAACTCGTACAAAATCGGAACCCATATACTGTCATTAGGGAGATTGCTTGAAGCAGTATTTAAATGATTAATCAAACAATGTTTTCTGTTGCATATAGCAATACCCCGCTGATGGAAGAAACAAGTTAGTGTCAGACACTCCGGGAGATTATGAACATGCTGAGGGAAAAGCAAAATCCCCTGATGTAAAAATTCCTTTGGTAAGAACCATGTTTAGCAGCAATCATTTGTTTAATTTAGTACTAAATAATACATTTCAAACTTTCCTTCAACTGCTTCATTTCCTTATTAGTATCGTGGTCATGTACCTTGTGTCTTTCTTTTTTTGTGCGGCTTGATTTTTCTTGGCTAAGAAATAAGTCTGAAACGTGGCAGTGGTTTATTCAGGTTGTACATGGCTGGCTCAAGTCCCATCAAGTGGCATCTTTCTGAAGAAACTAAACCTCTGTCTTGCCGTACACTGTATATAAGAAACATATAATCTGCTTTTTATGCCAAAAAAAAAGTAATGTCAGGTAATTGTCAGCTTCGAGCCAGTTTAAATTAGGTTTCTGTTCCAGTGAGACTGTGAACTTAAACCCTGAGCCTTTGTTTTAATCTAATTTATGATGTTCTAAAAAGCATAATAGCAAAATCTTTGAGCTCTCTGAAGATACAATCAATATAAAATATATTGTGTAGCAATGTATTCTGAAAAACTGAGAGCATTGTTTTTTCTTAACAGGGCACTTTAAGCAAGTCCGAATGGGATGCAACAAGTAAGTTAAAATCCTTCTGCTGTTGTTTAAAGGAATCCAGTCATTATTTGAGAGAGTGTGTCTTTACTTCCCCCGGGGGGGGTGGGTGAGTTGTTTTACAGCAGGGGTGTTGGTGTACAGATGGACAGAAGAAAAAAAAAACATGACGGGAACAGCAATATACTTACATATTTGCATAGAAGGTCGAGTGTTGAGTAACGATATGGCTACAGGTATGAATGAGAACTTGAATCTGTTGGTTTTGGAGTTGGGTCTCTGTGTTCTGATGGGAGTAACTGGAAATTATTTTTAGCTACTTTTGAAATTGTCCATTTAAAAATAGTATTCATTATGGTTTTTTGTTTTGAAAGAGAGAATGGTAAGTTTTTTTTTTTCCTCCTGTGCACTGCAGGCATTCATTCAAAAGGGTAATATGTCCTTTTAGAGGTACAGATTAATGTCAGAAGTGAGATTACTAAAATTGCACTTGACCTCAGTACTTTAAGGAAGAATGAAGAGCTGCTGTGTTTATTAAGTTACTTGAATGCAAAGCAGTTTTCTTTCTCTCCAGTAAACATAAGGTGCTTTTGCCTAATTATTAAATGACTCCTTATGCTTCTCAAGAAATTAATACTTGACTTCAAGTGGTTTGTTCTTAAAGAATGGAAAAAAAAGCCTGTACTTACCCTGTTTTGTAGAATGCTATTCAGTCCTCTTCTTGCTCCTATTATCCCTGAATGGATATGACTGGGAAGTACAGCTGAGCTGCGGTGAAATGAGTTTATCTGTTTCCATTGATATACCTTCTCAATATGTCTTAACCATTAGATCAAATCTAGTGACTGTTTTTTTT